TGAATTTTTTTTTCTCAAATTATTACAAATTACTCAAAACGGAGTTAAAAAGAGACGAGGAGAAAAGGGAAGAACCCTTATTTCTCCGACACTGACCTCCGATGTTTATAAAAATTGACGCCTTGACACCCTCCCCGTGAATATTTTACAAAGGATTTTTAAAATTTAACTTCCAAATAACGCATACTCTCGCCTAGTGTCACAGTTTTGAGCCCCATTTTGCTATGGTTAGACAGGTTTATTCTTGTACATTGTCGGGACAAAAGAAGCATCTCCTTCATCCAAATTGACTTTTTCATACCTAATATAACAGCTGCCGGCCATCATCTCGCCTTAATTGTTTCTATTGAATTAATTTTAGTTACAAAAAATTAGATGATCGTCAAAATTGGCATAAAAAGTTAATCAAGATTTAATTAAAACAAGAATATGCACAAAAGAAAAGAGATAAACTCCGACACGGGAAACAAGGAAATATCGCTGAAACGGCAACTGATCTAGCGCGCGCCTTTTTTAAAAATAATAATTTTTCAAAAGAATTCTAGGCTAAGCTAAATACCTGGTGCAACAAAATATTGAAGGATCTTCATGATCCTACCTGTGAGCGAGTAGAAAATTATTTGCAAAGAGGATAAAGGTATATCTTAATATAAATAGTTTCACTATTGATAATATGTCCCCTTTTAAAATGGCGCATTATTTGATACGTACTTTTTTCTTGTCAGAGCTTGTCTAAAAAAAAATCGGGATGGATGGAGGTTCTCCGTCAGGTTTTTTTCCTGTCGAAACAAGTATGTGCGGCGTTCGCTTTGGATCTGGGGAATGGGTGGGGTTATACATATATAAGCTATAAGAAATTTTAATTTTTTATAGTCGATATATCGACTATTTGGTAGTACGGTTTTTGTAAATCGACTTCATAAAACGAAGCTTTGATTTAACGCCCCTCCATATCTTCCAAAATATACGAAAGAGGGAAGGAACCACTTACTTTAACAACCTTGAAATTTTCGGGGTGTCCAATTAATTTCATAGCTTTTGTCAAAAACCGATTTTGTGCGACTTATGCTCACTGCATCGCCAGCTTTGAACTTTGACTTTTGCACTGCAAATTTTTTTTGGTAAATTATATGCGAGAATCTCCGTTGTTGGGGTAATTTCTGATGGTTTCATTCCGGTGGTACTATGTTTTGTTTGGTTATATTTTGCTGTTATTTTTTTTTTCTTTAATAAAGTTATTTTACGCAATTACTTGTTTTTTTTACTTTTTTTTATGGGGGTAAGGATAAAACATACACACACACTGAATTTTAAAAATACATTTATTATTATTAGTTTACAGGTAAATTTCTATTAAAACACAGGTATGTCCCATGCTATCCTTTTGTTGATATCTTGTTTTATCTGCATTTTTCCAAAACGCATGTAGTCCTCCATGCAGTAGCTCTGCTCACTCTCTTCTGTAGAACATAAATATTCTATATGCGGAAAGATTTTGGCGTCTTCCAGTAAATTTTCATGTATAGTCAAATACAATATTCTATCGTAGTACTCGTAAAAGTTCAAACGAGACAGTACTCGTATTCTTTTAAATACCAATTTGCTTATGGTAATTAATTCCTGTACCCAGTCTTTCGAAATATAGAGTATACCCTCGCTATTTTCAATCTTGACCAAGACTTCACCATCACATTGTAGACAGCTGAGTTTGAAGCAGGTTAAATACATAACTTTACCAGTCGGGCCTGCTAACAATAACAATGGAAGCTGTTGTATTAATTCTGTGAAGTCTATCTCGTCGAACGAAATGCTTCTTTTCTCCGCCAAAACGTAGGGGATAAAGCTCACTTTCACTGCCGGAGCGAATATTCTTGCTGGGCTAAGACCTGAGGTAATTTCTAGTCCGAATTCCGGCAGCGTAATTGCTGCCTCGTAAATGTATTTTTGTTCGCGGATTATTTCCGCATTGACCACAAATCTTCCCCACGAATCCAATGCTTGCGTTGGATAATTTTCGACTTCGGACATTTTTCTAACTCTGCACTTATCACGAAATTGTATGAGTGGAAACTGAATAAAAAATTAAAATTTCTTATAGCTTATATATGTATAACCCCACCCATTCCCCAGATCCAAAGTGAACGCCGCACATACTTGTTTCGACAGGAAAAAAACCTGACGGAGAACCTCCATCCATCCCGATTTTTTTTTAGACAAGCTCTGACAAGAAAAAAGTACGTATCAAATAATGCGCCATTTTAAAAGGGGACATATTATCAATAGTGAAACTATTTATATTAAGATATACCTTTATCCTCTTTGCAAATAATTTTCTACTCGCTCACAGGTAGGATCATGAAGATCCTTCAATATTTTGTTGCACCAGGTATTTAGCTTAGCCTAGAATTCTTTTGAAAAATTATTATTTTTAAAAAAGGCGCTCGCTAGATCAGTTGCCGTTTCAGCGATATTTCCTTGTTTCCCGTGTCGGAGTTTATCTCTTTTCTTTTGTGCATATTCTTGTTTTAATTAAATCTTGATTAACTTTTTATGCCAATTTTGACGATCATCTAATTTTTTGTAACTAAAATTAATTCAATAGAAACAATTAAGGCGAGATGATGGCCGGCAGCTGTTATATTAGGTATGAAAAAGTCAATTTGGATGAAGGAGATGCTTCTTTTGTCCCGACAATGTACAAGAATAAACCTGTCTAACCATAGCAAAATGGGGCTCAAAACTGTGACACTAGGCGAGAGTATGCGTTATTTGGAAGTTAAATTTTAAAAATCCTTTGTAAAATATTCACGGGGAGGGTGTCAAGGCGTCAATTTTTATAAACATCGGAGGTCAGTGTCGGAGAAATAAGGGTTCTTCCCTTTTCTCCTCGTCTCTTTTTAACTCCGTTTTGAGTAATTTGTAATAATTTGAGAAAAAAAAAATTCAGTACCCGAAAAATGGACACACATTTGCAAGCAAAACAAAAAAAAATAGGATACAAAAAAAAACTATAAAATATAGGCGCCAATGCAGGCAATAGTTTAAATACGGGAAGTTACATTTTTAAACATAAATTCAGATTTTCGGTGGCAATATAACTCTATTTTTCGTGTTTGTTAAGATTTATATACATAATATCAAACCAGGCTTTGGAAACGTCTGGTTAAGACCACAGGCCATTAGCTTCTAAATAAACGCGAGATATCATGAAAACCGAAAAAGTTTGAATGGAATCTAACGTTTCCTTTTGTTTCTCAAAAATAGTAATTAAGCGGAAAAGTACTCGTAGTATATTGATTAATTGTAGAAATGTCTCATTTTCTACAAAACAACTTAAGTTAAATAAAATGCAAATTAAATTATTATAAATTACCGCTTTGTTGTATTCGCTATTTACTATGCCCCAACCTACGACGACACTGGAGGGTAGCTTAAAATTTGACCTGCTTGGTTTACCTGCCTTTCGTAGGAATGCGGGTTGTTTCACGTGTCAGTCGAAGTTTAAAGAAGCGTTTGTGTTAAGGGTTCGTTTCTGTTATACGCGTTTGTTGCTTAATGCAATATCGTCAACGAGTTTAAGTTTTGTGTTCAATGTGTGTTTCATATACGGATAAATAAAACAAAAAAGACTGGAAAAAGATAGGTAAGAAGTTTTCGGAATTGCGACTTTAATGAGTAACCGCGTAACATTTTGACCTAGTATTATGTATATGTTCGACGAGGTTTCTATACTTAATTAAAAAAATTGGGGAGTGATCAAAGGAGGCTGAGGTCGGAGATACGGATCTTGTTTGGTATCAATTTTTGTTTAATAAAACAACCAAAAATGCTCGCTTACGTTTTTGAAGTAGGTAAAAAGGAAACAGAATTTTAATAGAAATAACGCACGATATATCTCCCAAAAAATTCAGCCATATGAACAACGCGAAGAAGTTAAGCAGATAAAATTTTACAAGATTTTTGGTGGGCCAAGTGTAAATTCGGATTGTGGAAAGTAACAGATAGAGAGAATGAGTGACCTATATAGAAAAAGAGAGACAGAAAGGTAGATTTATTTAAACGTTTCTCAATCATCCACCCATCGGAGATAATAAATAACATTCGCTAGTTTTTTTTGCATGTATTGAGTTAAGTTCGGAATAGAAATATGTCAATAGTAACAATTTAAATATGGTAATTTTTGGGGATTGTTATACGTCCGCCAGCGTATTAAAAATATGGTTTTAGGGGTTAGAACTTTTAAGTTTCAAGAAAAAAAAACTCATGTTGAAATTTTTGTATTCGGAAGCTTCTGTTGTTTATTAATTTATAGACACTGGAAAATATAATAATAAAACATCCTACAGTTGACATACGCGTCCTCTTAAACTCGAAAAGAGCTAATTTATCTTAGAAGAGTACGTATTTTTGGTAAAATAGATATTTTTTATATTAAATATTTGACCGATCGATGTAATTCGTCAAGCAGAAACCGAGAAGAAAAGTGACGCTTGTGGTGTTTGCTGACAATCCGACCCTGCTTCGTGTACAAATGCAATGACATTTCGGCAGGGCTATAGGCTACGAAACCTTTCAAACTCGAAAAGGACGAACTGTTTTAAAGAAAAAAGGTACTTCATTTTTGGTAAAAGTAATAGATAATTTTTTTTTCGCTAAATATTCCACAGATCGATGTAACTCGTCAAGCAGAATCCGAGAAGAAAAGTGACCGGGGGTGCTGTTTGCTGACAATCCGACCCTGCTTCGTGTACAAATGCAATGCCATTTCGGCAGGGCTATAGGCTACGAAACCTTTCGAACTCGAAAATGCGCTACTAATTTTGAATAGGTACTTAATATTGGGTAAAAGTAATAGATAAGATTGTTTTACATTAAATATTTGACAGATCGATGTAACTCGTCAAGCGGAATCCGAGAAGAAAAATGACGGATGTGCTGTTTGCTGATAGTCCAGAACGGCTTCGTGTACAAATGCATGGCGGGGAGACCAGAAAGTTTTCGAAACTGCGTGAGTGGAAGTCTGCGTTGGACAAATTTTGAAAATATCTGAAGGTTTAACGAATTTTGGAGAATTCGACAGAGCTACAGACTACGAAACCTTTCGAAACGAACACACGTGTCCTGTTGAACTTGAAAAAAACGAAATTATTTTTAAAAAGGTATATTGTTGCTAAATAATAGATTTTTTTTTAATTAAAATATTTGACAGATCATGGTAACTCGTGAAGCAACATCTCAGAATTGAATCGGGGAACGAGGAATCAAAAAAAGGTTAACAATTTGGATCATTTTGGAAGATACATACGCCGCGCTTTTCAAAGCGGACAGACGTGCCCTTGTCCAACTGAAACGAACACACGTGTCCTGTTGAACTTGAAAAAAGACGAAATTATTTTTAAAAAGGTATATTGTTGCTAAATAATAGATTTTTTTTAATTGAAATATTTGACAGATCATGGTAACTCGTGAAGCAACATCTCAGAATTGAATCGGCGAGTTGTGTATTTGCTGGCAATCCGAGCCTGCTTGGATCATTTTGGAAGATACATACGCCTGCGCTTTTCAAAGCGGACAGACGTGCCCGTGTCCAACTTGACAAAGGCGGAATTATTTTAGGAAAGGTATATTATTTGTAAAAAAAATATACAATTTTTAAGTAACATATTTGACAGACCATGGCAACTAGTAAAGCAGAATCCGAGAATTCAATCGGCGGCTGTATGTTGACTGACAAGAATATAATTGCTGTTAATCCGGCCCTGCTTCTTGTACAAATGCATAGTGGGGAGACATGAACATTTTTCGAAATTGCGGCCCTATCCTCTTGGGATTCTACGTTGGACAAATTCTGAAAACGACCCAGCAATATAATTGGTGAGAAAATAGTTTTTTTGTTGTGTTAACAGTTAACAATTTTTTATTTTGGAAATAAGGGGTTTCAGTGTGTACTGGTATTAGTGAATCAATTTAATGATCTCAGCATCTCTAAACCCCCATCTTGAGACGCGTTAACGATCCGGATCGAGTTACGTCGCGTAATTGTGTCACTTTTTTTAATTAAAAAATGAAAGAGATGTACCTACCATACTTTATAAACCCCTACTCCCCTTTGGAGGTGATGAAATAAGTTTTGGCATAAAATATAAGTTCCTCGTATTACTTTGATATGATAAGTATAAGTCTTGCTTGTTTTTTTTTTTTAAAGGAGGTTCAAACCCGTGCGAGGTGAGGTTTGATATATGAAACAGACCAGTCATGGGGACACGAGATATGCAAAGTTTCAGCGTAGTCGTCGCCACATCGCTGCCAACACTGCATATATAAGGAATCACGAACCATTCAGGTAAAATTTTGAAAACACATATTTATGGCAATATAGAACCTCTCTATTTTTTAACAGGAATATTGAGACTTAGACCAGTATCTTTTTAAGTAGGCATGTGGGGTAAAGAAGACGCAGAAGCTTCAGTCGGGTACCATCGGTAACGTAGGCGATTAATATATTTCCACCACTACATATGTTGGATTGGAATTTCCCATTTGATGCTTTGACTGACTAAATGAGGAAACTTGGAGGTAAGCTCTTACGGAATTCTATCGAGATATGTTTAGTAACATATTGGTGCATTACTCTGTCTTCCAGTCAGTTTCACATAAACTTTGCACGTATTATAGAAATGCCACCTACTTTTTTTTTGTGTTAATATTATTGAAAGTAGTAGCTGGTAGCTGTAGTCGTAAGCCCAGAGAGTCTCTGTTTTGAACATAATACACAAAATGGGGCGTTCAAAAACAATAGACTGCATGCCTTTTAGAGTCGGCGTAAACTATGGTCATATACCCCTGATCAAATTCAGAACTACAAAATCGTTGTGTCTCTGCATTAAAAATAATAGTAAAATTTATTGTAGGCACCAAGTAGAGTATCGAAAATTTCCATTTTTAGTGCCAAATTGGTTACTCCAGTAAATTCCAACTGTTCTAATTTTTTTAAAATAATTTATGATGTTAGTGAGTTTCATTGCAATTATTTGTTACTTAAACTTTCTGCGTATTAAACCTTAATTAACAATACGCTATTCGTTAACGCAGGTAGAATTAATGACGCTGACTAACCTGATTTTGTCCAGGGGGGCGTAGTACGGTAGCTTGTACTGTGATGTTTGGTAGTTTGGCGGTGAGCTCTCATTTATAAAACTGGGGAATGTTTCGTTATCTTCAAATTGTAAACACGTATCATTAGAATTATATTTTTAAAATATTGATTAGGACATGTACTAAGTAACTAAATGCTCTAGCAAAAATATTCACACATATTGCGGAAAACGTACAAATTTAAATTAGAGAAAATTAACTATTTTTAGAGGTTGGTTTTTCAAAAAGGCGGGGGGGATTTAGTTAAAGAACAGATAGAGACTAAAGGGAAGCTCTATGAGAAAAGTTAGAATTAAAAAATCGATGTTTTCGTGTCATAGCGAAAGATGGATTATTATTAAAAATAATACTTGCATTAATTGTTGTCACCATTTGTGAAAAATATGGAAAACATCCTCTAGGTTCGCATACCTTTTTTTTTAATTTTTTTTAAGGTGGCTAACAAAATACACAGACAGAAAAGTTTAGATCCTGTTCGTTAATGTAGCGCATAGAAAAAAATTAGAAAAGAGAACGTTTCGTGTATGGCATACGTAGTTAGTACGGAATATTAATCTGAAGGCTGCAAGACAGTGAAAGAGTGATGCGCTTAAGTGTGGTTCAGAGAGGTTATTTGGGCTGTAGAAGTTTTTCTTTGAACAGGGTTCAAATAGCGTCTCCTAGAGCGTTAGTAGAGAAGAGTATTACAGTATTTAATATAAGCGCCCAGATTTCATTATTGTTGAGATTGCATAGAAACACACTTTCACGTAGTAGTCGCAGCAGCTTTAAAGTATATGACTTTTTAGTTAAGATGCCTTTCGAGTTTGCTTTATGGCTTGATAGGAAATTAAAGGGTAGATACAGATAAGTCCCGAAAAAAAGTATGTACACTATCCTCAAAGATCAGCAATAAATAAAAGAAATTGATGAAATAGTAAAGTTGACTGCGATATCTTAAAATCATCAATAAGATAGATAAATTAATTTTGAAAATATTAAATAATAAAAACAAATAATAAAATAGCAAAGAAAATCAAAATTATCAATAAGATAGATAAATTAATTTTGTAAATATTAAATAATAAAAATAAAATTATAATAGCAAAGAAAGCCTACCACGGCCACATACACATAATATTTTCGACATATGAACTTTTCCCAGATAAATAGTCAAATATCTCACGATACCTTAAAACAGAAACATGCGGAAATATGTATGAAGTTAACGCACGGTAGATGGCTTAGTAAATTAATAATGTATATGGTTTCTAATATCCTACTTTATTAATGAAAATTTTAACCAGGTTTTTGTTTTGCAGATATTATTGGTGGTGCCTGCCAGCTTCCAGTTCCGAGAAAAGAAATCCAATACTTTTCGTCTTTATTTTCCCTGTCATTTGTGCGCAATAAAAGTACAGTTTGTACCCGCCTGGGTACACATTCGCAGAACTATATGTTTTTAAAATAAATGTTATGGTCAATATTCACTAGGTGGGGTTACCTTATTAAAGAAAATCTTATTCCAAGAGGGGACACTAGTTTACATTCGAACCGCTAGAGGGTGCAGATGGTCACGCGAACAATATGATCAAGTCTCATTGACGCCATTGCTTTTCTTAGGGGTGGGAAAATATCTGGGCTCTGATTCGCTTCGCCGCCATCGCAAACTAGAGGTGGGGAGATTGATTAAACCCCATTGGTGCTTGCTTATCCAATGGGGGCCAGTTTCAAGGGATTATGGGTAAAGGGGGAGGAGCTAAAGAGTCGTGGGGAGGAGGACACGCCCACAAAAGGGAGAGGAGTGGGGGAAGCCTCTATTATACATATCTCTACTACAATGGTCGTTTGCAGTAGGTAGGTTTCGAACCTACGCTGCCATAGAGAATCTGATTTCTAGTCAGATGCCTTAACCGACTGACCAGGGATAAATCTGTTTGAAAGTAGAACTATTTCTGGTGATGTGCCATGTATTTCAAATATAAGGGCATTATATTGTTATAATATTATGCACTCAATCCCCATAATTGACAAAATTTTTTGGGTTGATTTGCTAATTAAAAAATTTATAATTCAAGCAAAACAATGGTCGTTTGCAGTAGGTAGGTTTCGAACCTACGCGGCCATAGAGAATCTGATTTCTACTCAGACGCCTTAACCGACAGACCAGGGCTAAATCTGTTTGAAAGTAGAACTATTTCTGGTGATGTGCCATGCATTTGAATAATAAGAGCATTATATTGTTATAAACTTACCCACTCAATCCACATGATTGACAAAATTTTCTGGGCCGAGCTGCTAATTACAAAAATTATATTTCAAGCAAAATAATGGTCGTTTTGCAGTAGGTAGGTTTCGAACCTACGCTGCCACAGAGAATCTGATTTCTAGTCAGATGCCTTAACCGACTGACCAGGGATAAATCTGTTTGAAAGTAGAACTATTTCTGGTGATGTGCCATGTATTTCAAATATAAGGGCATTATATTGTTATAAATTTATGCACTCAATCCCCATAATTGACAAAATTTTCTGGGCTGTGCTGCTAATTACAAAAATTATATTTCAAGCAAAACAACGGTCGTTTGCAGTAGGTAGGTTTCGAAACTACGCTGCCATAGAGAATCTGATTTCTACTCAGACGCCTTAACCGACAGACAGAAAGTAGAACTATTTCTGGTGATGTGCCATGCATTTGAATTATAAGAGCATTATATTGTTATAAACTTACCCACTCAATCCACATGATTGACAAAATTTTCTGGGCCGAGCTGCTAATTACAAAAATTATATTTCAAGCAAAACAATGGTCGTTTGCAGTAGGTAGGTTTCGAACCTACGCTGCCATAGAGAATCTGGTTTCTAGTCAGATGCCTTAACCGACTGACCAGGGATAAATCTGTTTCAAAGTAGAACTATTTCTGGTGATGTGCCATGCATTTCAAATATAAGGGCATTATATTGTTATAAATTTATGCACTCAATCCCCATAATTGACAAAATTTTCTGGGCTGTGCTGCTAATTACAAAAATTATATTTCAAGCAAAACAATGGTCGTTTTCAGTAGGTAGGTTTCGAAACTACGCTGCCATAGAGAATCTGATTTCTAGTCAGACGCCTTAACCGACAGACCACGGATAAATCTGTTTGAAAGTAGAACTATTTCTGGTGATGTGCCATGCATTTGAATTATAAGAGCATTATATTGTTATAATATTATGCACTCAATCCCCATAATTGACAAAATTTTTTGGGTTGATTTGCTAATTAAAAAATTTATAATTCAAGCAAAACAATGGTCGTTTGCAGTAGGTAGGTTTCGAACCTACGCGGCCATAGAGAATCTGATTTCTACTCAGACGCCTTAACCGACAGACCAGGGCTAAATCTGTTTGAAAGTAGAACTATTTCTGGTGATGTGCCATGCATTTGAATAATAAGAGCATTATATTGTTATAAACTTACCCACTCAATCCACATGATTGACAAAATTTTCTGGGCCGAGCTGCTAATTACAAAAATTATATTTCAAGCA